AAATTTGTTGCACAGTGTAATATGTCATTTATAGTGGACTTTAGGTATTAATAGGGTTAATTTGCAAAGAATGAATTTTGGTCCCTTGTGACTTTCCCTTCTTCTGAATCAAATATCTAAGTTGAAATGCAATGTTTGCATTTTTTCTATCAAATCTGTACAGATGATGAGACATGTAAGAAGCATATCTACAGCAAACCAAAAAACTAGTCATCATAAAATGTGAGGACCAGCAACAATTCTACATCATTGTTTTTGGTTTTTATTCCAGTGCAATATGAAATATGTTTCGCTGAAAAACTCAGATTTCTTTAAATGTAAAATCTAATATTTGCCATCAGGTTCGCTAGCATTATTCAAAAATGAAATTAATTACTGTTTAATAAATAATATTTAAATAAGTTTCAATTTGTTATCATTTCTGTTTAAACCCAATAAATTTCAGAACACACTATAATATTTGTAACGACAATGTACGAAGGCGTAGGTTTTAAGAAAGTTTATTCAACTGAGAATACAAGTTTCGCGTCGAGTGTTCTTTTGTAGTCCCATTAAACAGAAATATTTCTGTCAAAGAGGAGAGTAGCAATACAAGGGGAGACCACTCTTGATTATTCATAACAATATTACTGAGTTTATTTCGACGTGGTGTAATCTTTAGCGACCACATTTCCCTAAATAATCTAATTGTGTAGCGAGTTCAATGCTGACTGGCTGTTTCATACATTCGCCCTTGCGCCATATATAAGTTACGAGTAGTAAATCACTATAATAATTATACTGAAAGAACGCATTTTATGACAGAGTTTTAATTTATCCGACTGCAAACAATAAACTATGAAGTATAAAAAGTTAAATAACAAAAAAAAATCTATATTTCACAATAAAACAGTTTTTCTTTCACTACACCCAATGTTTTGATACCTAAATGTAAAAAAAAATACGTTAATATTTGCAGGATAGCGGTGGAGAGAAATTGTAAATCTTGCAAGGAATATGTAGATATATTATCAGTATTGCACCAAATGATCTTAACTTATAAAAAAAAATAATTTCGTAATATTTTTGGCACAATTTTGCTGTTTTCTCAAAAAGATAATTAAATAATTTACACTATTTAAATTATTTGGAATGTTCTCCCCATATTTCATATTCACGACGTTTCGGCCGTTTTACTCTCCCATGTTCTTCAGGTGATATACGTTAGAATACCGAACCGTTTATTTAGTCCACGGGGTAGATTGCCATATTTCCAAGTTCTATGAGTTTTCTGGATGTCCCATTATCAGTTAATTCCCTTTTGGTAACTCAAATCGCCAAGATTTTCTTCATTCCTGCATTGAACACACAACTCTTTGGGTTGTCAGGTCACTGGGTTGCTCAAACCAGCGCATTTGTGAACATCTAGGTATATCTAGAGTTATCTAGGAAAGACATGGCACGTGCAACTGAAACAATCTACCCCGGTGGACGAAATATAGGGTTCGATTCGAAATTCCTTCGCATATGACCTGAAGAAGGCCGGAGTTTATAACGGCCGAAACTTCGTGAATATGACAATAAAGATAAGAATAATAGTCAGAACAAGGTAAAAAGGAAAATAGAAAGATAATTGTCTAAATATTAAATAAATGAAATGTTCATATTCCATACGCGTAATATTAGGTGAAAAAAACGAAATGTTGGCTGTTTCAATGTGGCCAGGAAATTATTATTATTATTATTATTATTACTATTAATAATAATAATAATAATAATAATAATAATAATAATAATAATAATAAAAGCTGTCAAAATACAAGGACCTTGAAATAGAAATCTCGAAAATGTGGCATATGGGAACATCAACAATCCCTGTTGTAGTTGGAGCCCTAGGACTGTTTGGAAAATATTGCAGTAGACTAATTGAAGGGATTCCTGGAAGTCCATGCCTCAAGGATATACAAAAATTGTTCTGACAAGTACAGCCCACACTTTACGAAGGGCTTTATCTATATAATTTTTTTTTTTGTCAGTGGAAAGTGTCATGATGCCATTTCTAACCTTAGGTCCCTGGACGGGACTCGGAAAGAAATGTGTAAACGCCAGAAATCAAAGAAAATAATTTATTTATTTCTGCGAGTTTCCTTCCTAAACATTTATTTAATGCAATGCCGAATGTTAAATTAGTCACTATAGAATTATTTTCCATTTGAATTACATATGCTACCCATTTTAGTTGTTCCTATCGGAAATCTTCAATTATGTATTTTTTTTTTTTTAGGGGGGATTTCATAATGTTCTTTCTATGAAGTTAGTTAACATTGATCTGAGAAAAATGCGATTTATAGATGAGATGTTAGATATTTTTGAACGGTTTCTTTCTCATGCATATCATCCAGATTTTATGTGAAAAATCTATTTATGAACATCACTCGTGTTTCAATGTTCATATTTCCATTCTGTGTCATGATGTGGTCTTGGGCAAAAATACCCATTGCGATATATATCCTGTGTTAAATCTCCTTATCTGCAAAGAAATTATAAAGATATTAGCTTCTGGAAAATGTCATTATCGGTGAGAACAGAAATCGAGGAAATATGCCGAAAAGAATTAAAAAATAAATCCCTACGACAAATGAATTAAAAAAAATACGCCTGTAAATTAAGGCAAAGTATAAACGTAAGAATGAATAAATATTAAAACAGGATTATCAAAAAAAAAATAAATAAAAATTATGACAGTTTTAATGCAAATCAAAATTTAAAGGAAAGTGATAAGAAAGAATTGAAAACTCGCTAAAATTTGATAAAAATAAGATATAAAAGAATTAATATATATTTAAATAAGAAAGATATACCAAATCTACGAGGAATTAAAACACTTTCTCACATAACACAGCATATTTGAAACAGTTCCAAATTTTAAAGAAAAAAATGAATTTGAACCGATTCTAATTGACAAAAGCAATATCAATAAAGAAATTCGCACAAGATAAAAAAAGCCAAAAAAAAAAAAAATAAGTCGAAATAAACCCGGGAAAAACTGCAAAGATTATTTATTTTAAAATGACTGATTTTAATTAAAATGGAAATATTCCAGTCAAAGCCTTTCGATACCATCGTCTTTCTGATAAGCATATTGCCAATATAAAATTCAAGATTGAGAAGCCACTTTTAAGATAGCCCTGTCAAAAGATTAAAAGCTTAAACTTATTGGAAATGCCTCACTCTCCTGGAAAAGATATTTTTAATTGCGCATCAATTTAGTTTCATCCACGCGGATTATTTGTTTGTTGTCTTTCATTCGTCAAATTTGTTATTTGTTTAAATTTTCTGATCGTGCTAAACGTCTTTTTCCCTGTGTGCGTGTGTGAATTTGATTTTATCATTATTTGCTTTTGTATTTCTTTTTGCACTAAAAACTTCAACAAACTAATTACTGTTGCCAAATCAGAAGGTGTCTGATTAAAGTGTCGCTGTTCGGTTATATGAACAATTACAACGATTCTCTTCTTTGCTTAGAGAACTAATGAGTTGACTAATTACGAATGAGAAAACCAGACCGAGACTAGAGCTAAGCTAAGAAGCAATCCAGGTGTATAAGCTAAATTAGTTACATTTTTTTTTGCTATTTCGAATTTAACTTTTGTGTTATCGCCATTTATTTAAACATGGTTTTATTTTCACTTTTGGTTCATTTAGTATTGGAAGAAATTACTTCAGAAATGTGTGTAAAATCTATACAATTTGTCAATGACACTATTGAAACATTGTTTTTAAATAAATTGGTTCAATGGAAATTGAGAATTTTGCTACATATCATCATAATGACCCAGTTAAATGACTGTATTTAGAGATTTTTAAAAATGGATGAATAAAGTATTCTTATTTTTATGTATTGCATAAACTATGTCGTCATAAAAAAGAATCTGCTTGACTATTTCAACGTGATATAATGGTTGACAAGCTTGTCTTGCTAGATCATTTACGTCTGAGTAGTGATGTCGATTCTCACTGGGTACACTACACTTTCAGCCTTGTGCCACATCTGAGCTACGCTTAGAAAATAAGGGCAATTCGGCGAGGTGTAATATCTCGCGCAATCAATTACAAGTGTGTAGTGAGTTCAATCCTCACTGGGCACTCCATATATTAGCTATTGTATGACATTAAGGTAGGTTTTAGAAAATAATTTGGAGCACTTCGAAGTGGCGTAATCATTAGCAAGCTTGTTTTTCTAGAACAATTGCAATTTGGTGTCAAGACTCTATGTAGTATGAAAATACATTTACAAAAAAACCCCCAAAAAAACAAAACGAATAAAAGCAATGCATTCTCATAGTAAAAAAAAGCTATACATTTTTTTTTTTTAAATGACATCACTACATCTGTAAAGAAAAAATTTCTCTATCTATAAAAGGCAGGGTGTGTGTGTATGTGTAACGAATGCACGGCCGCAATTTTCGACGGATTTGCACCAAAATGTACATGCACATGCTCCAAGTTAGCGGTAAGGCCAAGACCGACGTTGCATTTCCCAACTTCCATCGACAGTGGAAATAATCGATTTTATCATGCTTCTACGACAGTTTTCATGTTGTTTGTGGCCATTTTGTACTTGAGAGTGAGAGCCTATCGCTGGCTGCCACAAATACGCAGGGATATTCTATTGGCCAGCGTGAGAGCCAACAGCTGACTGACACGAATGTCAACTAGCATGCTAGCATGCAAAAAAAATCGATAGCTGCATTCTTCACAAGTGGGAAAAATTTAAATCTACATGGCACTTTACTCCAATTGGCTCATTCGCTTGCTTAAACTCCACGTTGATTTGGTTCCTTCAACCTCACAACTACGATTGGTTGCATAGTAGACGCTACTCTTCTGTTCATATCTACATTTGTCGAACTCGAATACGATTTTCCTTTGTGTTCTCTTTTTCTACACTAGTAAAACTCCATGCGTTGTCCGCCTCCGTAGTGGACACATCCCTAAACCTGAAACTGCCATACCTTTTAATGTTCTTAATACGTGAGTTCGTTCCTTTTTTTTTCTTTTTTAATAATGCCACCAAAGAAGAGAATCCCATTGGGTCGGTTGAGCACTCGGTCACGAAAACAGCTTTGAGAGCCAGGGAGAGGTTGGAGGAGAGCAGAGCGCGAAATTCACGTAATGCAACAGCTGTGGCCGCGTCTTGGTCGTCACAAACACCACAGCAACGAATCCTTAGGCTTGACGGTAACAATAAACGAAGAGGTGCTCACCGTGGTATCACTAGCCTTTGTAAATCAATATGGCTACGCCGAGCTTTCCTGTACGATCCTACTGTTACTTACAACTCCCGATCAGATATAATAATTGTTTCTACGAACCAGGCCTGACGGTACTGTGGTGCCCTAAAATGGCCTCGAGAAACGCCTGGGTTTTGCTGCTCGATTGGCAAAATCCATTTGCCCCCAATCAGGGAGCCGCCTATTCCCCTAAAGGAGTTACTTATGGGTACGAATGCCGCTTCAAGTGCTTTTCTAAAAAAATACGTAGGTACAATTGTGCTTTCCAAATGAATTCGTTCGGGGCTGATGTTGTTAAAGAGTCTGAGTGGATGCACACATTTAAGGTCAAAGGGCAGGTTTATCGCTTGATTGGCTCGCTACTACCTCAAAACGAACAGTCGCATTCATTCCTCCAAATCTACTTCATTTTTGATTACAATCAGCAGGCCGATGTTAGGTGCGGCATTTTTTTCCTTCCGCCGAAGCAATCCTGCGTATACCGTTGACAAAAAACTCCTGCTTGCCTTGCAGAATATGCTCCATGAATGCAAAAGCAATGTTCGGAGCTTTAAGTACACTTTAGAAACCTCATCTAGCCACGATATTTCCTGCATTATCGATGCAGATAAGAGGCCTTCTAGCGAACAGTTACGCCGTTACAATGCTCCCACATGCAATGACGTTGCCGTGCTACTCCATGGTGATCAACATAAACCTCGAGATATTGTTCTTCACTGTCGGCACAGCCAATTACAACGCGTAAGTGAAACCCACCGCTTATACAACGCACTCCAGTACCCGCTTCTTTTCCCATATACAGACGATGTGTATCATGTTGGGACTCCTCAGTACGGGCCTGACACTACCTTATCGGTAACCACGAAAATAGTGTCCTGTATGTCATTCTACTCATACCACTTCAGGAGAAGAGTTGGCTCCATTAATCCATTGCACAGGGCTCAGGGTCTTTTTTACTAATTTTCAGTTGACATGTCTGCGAAAATGGAGTCGGAGAGATTGGGCTTCATTAAACTGAACGAGAAAAACTTAAATGTGACAGCCATATCCACCTGTAAGATTGGATTAGGAATGAGGTAAACCCCCGCAATCTAGGGAAGGCTTGCATTTTGCCCTCATCATTTACAGGGAGTCCACGATATGTGCACGACCGTACCCAAGATGCTATGACTTACGTACGCCATTACGGTCGTCCATAGCTCTTTACGCCGCTTACCTGCAACTTACTTACAAAAGGCCAAATATTGGGTCCTAATTGCTACGACATTTACACCATCGAGTGGCAGAAAAGGGGGTCTTCCCCATACCCATATCCTTATATGACTTACAAAAAGAATTGATCCGACTACAGTAGACGATATAATTTCGGCCGAAATTCCGGATCCCTTTCTCGATCCACAATTGTACGAAATCGTAAAGTGCAACATGGTTCATGGACCCTGTGGATCTGCGTTCGAAACCTTCTCTGCTTGCCAGAGAAATAATACATGTACTAAGAATTCTCCTAAAAAGTTACTGACGAGACCTCAATCGCAGGAGACGGTTACCCACGTTAACGCCGGCGCCAACCTGAAAATGGGGGTTTCACCTTTAACATGAAGGAGCATAGCGTAGACAATCAGTGGATTGTGCCGTACTGCCCCCTCCTTTTGAAAAAAATTTAACGCGCATATAAATGTTGAAATTTGTGATTATGTTAAGTCTATAAGGTACATTTGTAAGTACGTCAATAAGGGTTCAGACGCAGTCATGTTCACACTCCAAAACGCCAACTGTCGCGATGAGGTATGGGAGTATTTGGCAGGTCGTTACATTAGTAGCAATGAAGCTTTTTGGCGGAGCTTCAACAAAGGCATCCTGCTATTGTGCAATTGGCTGTTCTTCTAGAAAATGATCAGCGAACCTATTTCACGGAGGAAAATGCAACTGAAATTGCAAAGAATCCAAAGGACACTACGCTTATTGTTTCTTTTTTAAACTCTGCTGTCATGACACGTTTGCTCAGACACTCCTCTACCCCCAGGTTCCTTCCTACTATGTTTGGTCGGGAAATACTTGGGTCCGAAGAAAAACGGGTCAGGACGTTGAAGGGCATCCAGGAGTAAAATGGGACAGCTGTTTAGGGACCACCAAGCCAGCAGGAGTGTTTTTACCTCCGATTGCTCCTGCATGAGGTATCAGGGCCGCAGAGTTTCCAAGATCTCTTAACTGTCGAAGGTTGTCTACCCTTCATTCCGTGAGGCCTGCTTTAGACGCGGTCTTCTTCAAGATGACACGCAATGGGATTATACCTTAGCAGAAGGCGTCCTGTTGAGATCTCCTGGTTGTCTTCGGTATCTATTCGCAATACTTCTTCAGTGGTGCGAAATAAGCGACCTAAATTCTTTATGGGAGCGCTACAAAGACCACATGTCAGAAGATTTCCTACGTCAAGCTCAGTCCCATAATCCTGACATCGAGGTTACATTCAGCGGGATAATTTACAACAGGGCACTAATTGCTCTCGAAGACAGTCTTCTAGAGGTAGGTGGTAATACACTTGCAACATATGGATTACCACCTATACATTGTGAACGCGTCAGGGATCTTTTCACTGATTTGTTGAGGGAGACGTCACTTAACGTCGAGGAGCTTCAGATTTATTTTTGGCCTGAACAGAGAGAAGACTTCGATGCTATCGTTGACTCCGTACGGTACCAAACGGGTGGTATTTTCTTTCTCGATGCTTCCGGGGATACAGGTAAGGCCTTTGTTACTAAACTCGTACTTGCCGAGCTCAGGCGTGCCGATTATATCGCACTAACGGTGGCTTCATCGGGCATCGCAGATACTTTGCCCCCGGAGAAAAGACTGCTCACTCAGCATTTAAGTTACCTCTCAACTTGGTAAAAGAGAACACGCCCATCTGTAATATCTCAAACAATTCTGACAAAGCTGAGGTTGTTCGACGTTGCTGGGCCATATTTAGGGATGTACCATGTCCCATAAAGGTGCATTTGAGGCCCTTGACAGGCTCCTGCGTGACATCAAAGATTCAGATCGTCCTATGGGGGCTATCACACTTCTCCTATCAGATGATTTCAGACAGACACTGCCTGTCATTCCAAAAGGTAACAGGGCTGATGTCGTGGGAGCCTGTCTTATATGCTCCACTTTGTGAACCCAAGTAAGGACACTAAGTTTGAGCACAAACATGCGTGCCAACTTGAGGGGTGACACCGCCTACTCAGAGTTTTCCCAGCGGCTTTTGGTTCTGGGCGAGGGTAGACAGCGATCAGATGATAATGGAATGGTTTCGATTGAATCCGTTTGCACAGTCATCGAGACAGCTTCTCAATTGGTGAATTGCGTCTTCCCAAAACTCGAGTCCAGTTTTCGTAACATGGAATGGTTTAGTCAACGCGCCATCCTTGCCCCAAAAAACCGTACTATTGATGCGATTAATGACGATCTTCTCCAACAAATCCCAGGGGAAGAGCGAGTCTAAAAACCCATCGATAGGACACCAGGGACTGAGAACGTTGTTGACTATCCAATCGAACTATTGCATTCACTCTAACCGCCTGGTCTTCCACCTCACGTTCTAAAGTTGAAGGTCGGGGTTCCAATTATGCTCCTTCGCAACTTGGTTCCCCCAAAACAATGCAACGGCATACGTTTGGTGGGGAAGTCGCTAACTCTGAACCTCATTGAGGCTACGTTAATCACAGGTTGCGGACGGGGAGAGGTAGTGATGATTCCCCGGATGCATCTGTACCCCTTTCGGAGCAGACATTCCCTTCACGTTCAGGAGGTCTCAATTTCCCGTGTGGGTCTGTTTTGCAATGTCCATTAACAAGGCACAGGAGCAAACATCGAGTGTATCGGGGTTACACCTAGGTGAACAATGCTTCTCGCACGGTCAATTTACGTTAGCTGCTCGCGTATAGGGAGCAAGAGTGAAGTTTTCGCTCTGACACCACAAGGTCGGACGAAAAATGTTGTTTTCATTAGGACTGCCAACCATTGGAGAGTCTGTCCGGTAACCGGCGGCTCCCGATGCCCCCTTAGCCTCTGCGTCTGTGGGCATCTCACGGCAAGCGGAGGGTAAAGACCCCCAAGTGGGCATAAGCCTAGATCGGGATTAGTCGCTGCCTCTTAAAGGCGGCCGAACCCCTTTTCGCTAGGTCCCAGTTAGGCTTAGGTAGGCAGTTTAATTTGAGTCCAATCCTAAGCACTGTTAGAAGAGGGGGTGTTGTGTCAAAAGGGCTGGCACGTGTAACTGGATCACCCATTCGTTCTCGCCGCGACGCTGATTCCACAGAACTGGGTTGAGTGTGAAAAAGTATTTGTTGTTAATATTTTTTCATTCGGTTTTTCCTGTTACGAGTCCTTTTTTAAAGCTGATCGTTTCGTGTTCATTTTGTTTAGTTCTTTTTTCGAAACAGATTTAATGTTTAATATAGAGCTTAGTAAAAATCGGCAGTGTGAGATAGGCAAGAAATAAGGCATGAAGCAACATCAGCACGGCAAAGAGCACTCCTTTAAAGGCAAGGAAGGGCAAGACTATTTTAAGTCAAGTGATAGCGATTGCTGTATGTGTCGTACGATATTTGAATCAAGCACGGGCAACGCCGTGCCATGCTGCTAGTTATATACTTTTGTAAAATAATGGCCCCAAGAAAATTAAATTTCGGCATTAAATAACGCATCACGAGTTGATATATCGCTAAAAAAACACTTACAACATCTACAATTACAACTGAATAATAAGTTCGATCCTCACTGGGTGCCACACCTATTCGGCCATGTGTCAAATCTAAGGTAAAATCAACCTAAAACCTGTTCATATTCATATTAAACAATTCATGTAGACATCGATGTTCTGACAGTTAAATTTTATTAAGCCGTTAACCAAGCAAAATACTTAGCTGTTATTCCTATGTATAGGGTGTGATGGATAAATAAAAAAAAATATTATATATATATAATAAATCATAAAAATGAAAATGACACTGACATCTCATTTTAACAGATGCATTTAACAAAATTACACAAATATATGTTGAAATAGTAAATAATAAATGTATTCAATAAAATCGCCATTGGATTCAGCTACGCTGCCTAGACGACTTCGGACTCTCCTGCAACTCTTCTGGACGGTCACCTTGCTTAAGACGGTGAATGTTGCCCTAATCCTTGAATGATCCTTGAATCTTTGGTTTTACAAGGAGTTTTGTTGGTCTCTCTCACAACTGCGCCTCTCATATAATAATCAAGGGGGTTGCAGTTTGGAGAGTTAGCTGGCCAGATTCAAGAGTTGATATGGTCGCAGAAATTGGCTGAAGGTCTTTTTCTGCTTGTGTGGCATGATGAAGAGACATGTTACCAGACCAACGGTTTACCAGCAGCCACACTCCTATCCCATAGTAGCACTACCTCCTCAGGGCTTTTGATGTAGTTCTCCGTGCTGAGTCTGATTCCCTGTGAGAAGATGAAGGCTTAATGTCGCCATTAACTAGTGATCACCATTAAACACATCCAACATTTATTCGAACAACTCTCAAATATCCAAACACTCTGAAATGTTCGTATAGGAGTTTCTGGTGTGAATGCCAACCAGAAGAGCAAGCTGTTTCCACATTTCTGGCTGAGTGAATTGCGCCATCTTGCTTTTTATCCACACGGACGTTGCCCAACTGACCATACTATACTCTACAGTAAAAAAAATAAAAAAAGAACAACATGCATGCGCAATATAAAAATTAATTAATAGCAACAATTTAAAGATCACAATTATTTGCAGGAAAATTAATATCAGGACCCTTGAGAAATATGTCACTAGGTTTTCCTGCGCAACACGATTATCTCCCCCTTCAGAATGTATGACTGAATGATCTGTATTCGCAGTCATTTTGCAGGATGCTAATCTTAAATAGTGTGATCTCAAAACAGTCTTAAACACAAAGTTTCATTCATACTCATTTTTGGTCCATCGACGAACACTGTCATTATATTCTTTTCATTCAATAGATCATAAAACTCTTTATCCTTTTCTTCAAACAATTCTTGATCATTTCTCTACACTAAACCTAGAACATTTTTGGAGATGCGAAAACAGATAATTTGACCTCATGCTATCTCTCATTTCGTACATTGTTTTCTCCTTAAAGTAGGTAACGCCTCAGAAATCGCGATACCAAAGGTTTAAAATTAATTTTAAAAACGAAAAACCTTTCTAGAAGCTTCTATTTTAGATTTAGATTAAAGGTAAGAGATTACATTTAATATTTCCAGTAAGTAAAAGATATTTGCTGTAGTTCAAATCTAATTTAAAAGCAATTTAATTTAGATGAAATGATGTTTTTGATAAAATAACTGATTAGTGCTATTCTTTAGCCATCTTTCATCGTTATATTGAACAATATTCCAAAAATAAAATATAAATTTCTGAAACTTTATTTATGGAATTTTAGCTGACTTAAAGTTAATTAATCTGATTTGAAACAAATATTACATCATTTATTTAAATTATCGTAGAAATGCATTTTAACTTTGCGATAGTTGGTTATTTAAAGATTTAAGACGTTGACAGATGGAAGTTTATCAAATGTTTTTCTACGGTGGTTATATCTGTAAAAATACTTAAGGAATATAACGTGAGCGTCTTTTTAATATCAATTTTGAGTACTAATTTATTTTAAGAATTTAGGAGAATATTCTCGGTAATCTAATATTTTTTAAAAATTTTAGACACTTTGGCTTTAAATTTACTATAGGTGTCGCTCTTATTTTATGATAATATCCGTATCTACAAAACTTGCCAGTTTATACTTATAAAGAATTCTTTCAAAAATATTGGGGTCTGAGCATTGGAACTAAGCTTTGCTATTTAATATTAGTAAATATATTATTTTTACTTAATAACAATATCACCTAACGGGTACCAAGTTATGTAGAAATTGAAAAGATTTGAAATATATTTTTTCAAATTAAAATGTAATAGAATTAAAACAATTCTCGCAAAAATTCATTATTCCTCGTAATTTTTTTTCTCTTGCCGATAATGTACATGATGTATCATATTTATAAAAGCCTTTAAAAGATTTTATGATAAAATAATGTTGTAATTTTCTTGCTTTTTTTTATTTTACGATTCAGAGCAGATTTATCGGTAACTTGTTTATGTTTTACAAAACAAATATGATAATTAAATTTCCCTAAGGAGTTTTCATTTTAACGAATATAAACATTAATTAAAACAAATATTTATTCACGAAATTTCATAATATGAAATAAATGTGGAGTAACAGAAGTAACAGATATTCTTTTACCTAGATTTTCTAAAAAGAAGATTTCGCAAATAATTTTAATAATTGGTATGTAAGTTCTTAATTTTCATCAAAATCCGACGTTTGTTTAATGTTTGCAAGTATTTCTAAATCCATGTGTTTTTTTACTGCAAAAAAGATGCTAACATTTCCTTTATTAGACTTTGTTCGCCCCCAACCCGACTCAAGTAAAACAACATTTTTACTCAAAATTTCGAAACTTCTAAGAAGGATAAAATTTATTATTATAATAAAAAAGAAATTAATAATATACAAACATCTTTGAGTGTTTCCTCTTAATAATGACTTAAAGTTTTTGAACATAAATATTATGGTCATTTTTTAGCAACTCAGTGGAGGTACCTATTTAAAGACGAGCCATATTCAGTTTATTTTGGAATGGTAACACCGTTCGCACTTAGCTTTGGTTTTATGAAATAAACTTCATCTTTGCACGAAAAAAACGATGGTCACTCCAGAATGCAGCTTCCGACTTACTCGGACACTGCACAGAAATCGATTATGATGCCTTCGAACAAAAACCTAATCATCTACCATTGCTTTGATCCTGAATGCCTC